AGCAATTACAGACATTACCTTCTGCATTTTCAATTTCCATTCCCCGTTCTCTGTGAATGTGTCAAACCAGCACCACAGCATTGCTGGCAGGAGTACTCAATCTCCCAAGTAAATCTGAAGGGTTAAATTCCCAGTGAAGTTGGTGGGTGTTTCAGTGTGCTGTGGACCTACTGGTACCTCTCCATTATCATTGTACCCCTTCTTTGGTAACAATAAGACAACTATTGAAAGGAAACAACACCCTCTTTGTCAACATGTCTTTGCTGTTAGAATGGTTTTCATAGCTTAAAAAACCCTGAGTAAAATTGATCTCAGAGGAGGATATCATCCGTGTCCAGCCGGCGGGGATAGATTACCAGCAGCTTTCAAAAGCAGCAGTGTATCTTTTCCAGCCCTGTGAGCCAAGCAGATGGATGCCTGGATGGACAGTGTGGGGGTAGCCATAGTAACCATCATCCTGTGAAGCTCCTGCTCACATCCCTCTATCTATCACAACTGGAGAGAAAAGCCAACAGCTCACTGCTGGGGTGGAAATATCCGGTCAGACCTTTTCTTTCCAGCTCTAGCTGGGGTTTCTATTTCTCTTCAGCAATTTTCTAATCATACCTTGCTTGTCTGTATTTATGGATCGTGAGTAAAATCCCATCCCAGGGAAAGATCCCTTGAGCAAGCAACTTCCCAGCTGCTGCAGCCCCTGTGGTGGGTAGATGTGTGATAGCAGCTTTCTTCCCCTCACAAGGAGCAGAAAGCCCCTCAGCCTCCCCAGGCTGGGCAAACACCTCCATCTCTCTTGAACTCACCTAGAGTACTGCATGGCACATGAAGATAGATCAGGGTTGACGCCATTCCCAGCCTGTGTGCAGCCTGTCAGCCAGCATTCATAGAGGAGCACAGAGCTACAAGCAGCTTTGTGCTGTATCCATCCCCATGGGAGCTGGCTGGAGGGTGCTCCCATGCACACATCACCCTGGCTTTTCAGAGGGGATAACGACCCAGGGTGCTGCAGCCTGAAAGGCAGCTGCTAGGCTTGGATGCATGAGAAGGCTGCTCTGCCAATGACTGATGGTGTCATCCACTCTCATCTCCATTAAGGGCAAGCTTCTTCTCAAAGCAAAATTTGGTGGTACACAAGGTAACACATCTAACTGCCCTGCATGAACTCAGAAGGGAATTTTAAATGTTAAAACATGCCTGCTGAAAAGCAAATATAATCATTTGTATTGTGTGACCAAAGCCTGCACCTGTTTCAGAACCATGGCTTATTTGAGGGTGGAACCAGGCTCTGGGGATTGCTTAGTCCCATCCCCTCATCACTGTCCCTTTATGTAGCTTCAATTTGTCTCTGAGGATATTACAGGAGACAATGTTGAAAGCTTTGTTAAAGTCAAGATAAACAACATACTGCTCTCTGCTCATCCACTGAGCCAGTCAATTCACTGTAGAAGGCTACTGGAACAGTTTGACACAATCTTCCCTTTGTAAATCCATGCTCACAACTCCTAGTTACTTTCTTGTCCTTTATACATTTGGAAATGATTCCCAGGAGGATTTGCTCCATCTCTTTCCCAGAGATTAAGGTGAGGCTGACTGGCCTGTTATTCCCTGCATCTTCTTCCTTGACCTTCTTGAAGAAGATGGGACATTTGCTTTCTTCCAGTCTTCAGTAACCTCGCCCAGCTGCCCCGACCCTTCAAAGACCATTGCAATGACATTAGCTGCTCTCACAGCTCTCATGGCTGCATCCTGTCAGGTCCTATGGACTTCTGTGTGTCCAGCTGGTTTAAATGTTCCCTAATCTGATCCTCCTCCACCAAAGGTCTTTCTTGCTCTAGACTTTCCCCTGGGTTTTAGGCACATGGAATTCTTGAAGGCAAAAAAATTCTGTGAAGACCAACTGAGTGGATGTGTGAACACCTGTGTGTGTCTGCAGCCTCGCACTGCAAACTTGCTTGAACTGGCATGTGTTCGCACTGTTTGCTGAAACTCTGAAAACCAGACCTAAATCGTAATCAGAGCAATTGCCAGCTACTGCTGGTGACCTGATCTACCTTCAGGAGCTTAATTTGCACCGCAGTCACCTGGAGTCAGTCAGTATTGCTCTCTGCAGCTCCACCCTTCAAACAGCCCTTGAGCCACAGCCAAAACAAAATTAAAACACTTCCAATTCAGTTCTGCAAACTGCGAGAACTTGTTAATTCTAAAACTCAGTGACAATGAGGAGATTAGGTTGAAGAGCCTGTTTTGAACAGCCTAATCCAAGCGTTCCCTGCACACAAATACCACTGACTTTATTAGCATGCACTGTAAGAGCAGCCATGAATTACTGAGTGTATTGCAGTAATTTATGGCTGCTCTTGTCACCTCCTTGCTTCTCACCTTTGTGATGATCTGGAATTGGCTAAAACATGTCAGGTTTATGTTTGGGAAGAGAGGAAGTAGGGGGATTGGAAACCACTCATCATCACCTCGCTGAGCAGCAGGCACACTGTCCAAGGGGAAGGGCAGGATCTGCACATCCATCACCTACTCACTCATCCATGCCATGGTCCCATGCAACCCTCCTGCTTCTCCCACGACTTACAATTAGATAAACAGCTAAACATTTAGATTTATTTGTATATTCGCTTTGCAAGGCATACATCTGAAATCAATTCCCTGTATATTAGTGGAATGGCTTTTTTTGCCTTACTCTATTTCGCCTCTCCCCCCTTCACCTGAGTCTTGCAAAATTACATTTGTGAAGCACAGAAGTATTAAGCAAGGAACAGTGTGAAAAGAAAAGCTTATAAAGAAATAAATAATTCTGTATTCATAGCAGGGCTTGAATAATGTCCCTAGAACCACATGCTGCGAAAGGAGGAGAAAACCAAACATTGAACAGCTGCTCAGAAAAGCACCAGCCATCCTGAGCCCTGAAAGATGTGGGAGTCCTGTGGGGGACTGCATGACCATGTAATTAAGGGTTCTATCAGACTGTTGCAGAGGCTGCAGCAAGGCTACCCTGGCTTTGCAAACCTGGCACTCTTAAAATGCAACTGCTTGTCACTATTGGGGGTCAAGAAACAGGAATCCCCACACCCCCAGGCCACAAACTGTGCTGTGTGTGGTTCCAGGGACACTTTCCAGAGGGGAGTTGAGTGTCCATATGAAGAGACCTCTGCCATTTGAGCCAACAGGAGAGCTGGCAGTGGCATGTTTGACATCCTCTCTCTCATACACAGTGCTGGGGAGAGGCACTTTGTGCTGGCACATATCTGTGTTTCTCCTTCATTTGCCAGCAGTAAAAGGACCCTGAAGTGCCAGACACTGGTGTGGCTGCCTGGCTACACTGGTGAGGTCAGTGGTGGGTCCCCTTGTGCCTCACTTGCACAAGTACACAATTCTGCCAGGATGTTTTAGCACAGGTTCAATAATACGTTCCTCTCTGTCTCCATTCTTGAAAACAGCGGAGCTACTTGGCAGCAATTTAAAATTGAAAAGTCAGCTTCAGACAGACACTCAACATGACAAATTTCATGTCTGGCACAGCCATCAGCAGTTTATAACAAAGATTTGTAACAGGAACATTGAGCAAATATGTTACTAGCCCTGCCCTAAAACACTAATGTTTGGATTGAGAAGCCATGATTTCACTGTTGTTTTCATGGAATACAGGTGCTCAGAGGCCATGATTGATGTCCAGATGTGTTGGAGAAGGAAGAGCAATTGTTGTTGAATTATAATCACTCCCAAAGCTTTCAGCAGAGAAACACCAGAAAAGAAGACATCTTTCTAATCTACTGAGATCATAGAATCATAGAATCATAGAATAGTTAGGGTTGGAAAGGACCTTAAGATCATCAAGTTCCAGCTCCCCTGCCATGGTCAGGGACACCTCACACTAAACACTGCCCATCAGAAGTGGCTTCCTAAGCTTGTAGTTACCCTACAACCATTCTTTGGAAATTCCTCCTTTCCAACATGTGAGATTTATTTCCTGTTGCCCCAGGCCCCACTAAGGGTACATCCCAATGCCCCCCCCCCATGCAGGGGAGCCAGCTCTTGCTGTAGCACTGCATTCATCTTGCCTCCGGACGTTTCCAGTCTGCTCCCTCCTGTCTCAACTTGGTTACCCGCTCTGAGCCAAAGTCTTGTCTTCTGCAGCTCTCCTCTGAGTCACCTTTGCAGCACTGGTGCTTTTTGTTGAAGGCAACAGATTTCATGCAGAAATTTCTGGAGGGTTCTTTTTCCTTCCTTTTTCCTTCTCCCTTCCCTTTTGTCTCTATCAGTGTGAGTTATGAACCTGCAAAGATGTTCTTTGCTTACAGAATTGCTATGTGAGTAGCTTTAATGCAAAGGGGTAAATACTGCAGGTCTGTCTATTAGTATGAATAAGCAGAAGTGTGTGTGTATCTATATCTACACACCAATATAATTATATGTATAGAGAAAGAGGGAGAGCAATATAAGTACACATAATTACAAGTATGCAAATATAATGAAACAGTATGAACCTATTTGAAAATTTCTTTTTAAAAAAATATTAAGCTTCTAGGTTTCACTAATGCATTGAGCGTATGGAAAACCAGACAACATGCTCATTTCAAAACCAAAGTGCAAATCCCACAGACTTCCTGTTCGGTTTGAATAACTGTGTGAAACAGAGCTTCCCCAAGATAAGGCTATTTGCTTTTGGAAACAAAAGCCTGGTTTTGCCTTAAGCATGAGTGCCGACGCTGTTTCCAGGGCAGCTGATGCCACAGCCCCGGAGGAAGCAGATGGCAGTTGGTGCTCCCCAGCACAGCTTTGATGTGGGCCGACTGGTCCCTCTGAAATCACTGTACACTGCAGGCCTTCACTTCTGTGTGCAGTGAGTGTATTCCCAGATCCCACTGGAGAGCAGGGTGCGTTCACGACCTACCCACACCCCCTGAGAGCCAGGCGACTGTCCTCACCAGCATGGTTGTGTGCCAGTGTATTCCCCTGCACAACACACATCATGCTAAAGAGGTGATGCATACCTCAGGAACAGATTCCAATGGGCCAGGGTGCTCACTAGTTTACATCAGTTCAGCTCTAGGCTGTTGTATTTACATGAGGTGAGAATCAGATGCAATAACTAGCAGTAAGCCTCAAAAGTACCATTGTCCTGGGTTCAGCTGAAACAGTTTATTTTCTCCTTCTTAGCAGCTGGTGCAGTGCTGTGTTTTGGCTTTGGCCTGAGAACAATGCTGATAACACACCGATGTTTTCAGTTGTTGCTAAGTAATGTTTACTCCGATCAAGGACTTTGCAGTCTCTCATGGTTTGCCAGTGAGGAGGGGCACAAGAAGGCAGGAGAAAGCAGAGACAGGACACCTGATCTTAACTAGCCAAAGGGGTATTCCATACCACAGCACATCATGCCCAGTATATAAACTGGAGGGGGAAGTCACCTTGAAGGGCAGATTGCTGCTTGGGTAGGGCTGGATAACAGTCAGTGGGTGGTGAGCAATTGTATTGTGCATCACTTCTTTTAATTGGTGTTTTTTCCTTTCCCTTTTTAGCTTTATATTCTCTCTCCTTGTTATTTCCCTTAGTAGTAGTAGTAGTTTCGTATTATACTTCAGTTATTGGACTGTTCTTATCTCAACCTGTGGGGCTTACATTCTTTCAATTCTCCTCCCCATCTCACCCAGAGGGGGAGGAAAAAGGGGGTGATCCAATGGCTGTGTGGTACTGAGTTACCAGCTGGGCTTAATCCACAAGCACTACGAATCCGAGTCCAGATCTTGAATAAATGACTTCTCAGTATATATACCCATAGGAAATAAATATGCTTTGTAGTTTTTTCTGGAATCCTCAAGATAGAGAATGAATATCCATGTTAAGGTACAAGAAAACACCACCACCCCTGAAAATCACATTATTACCAAACTCTAAACTTTTGGGATCCAAATCTAATCCCTTTTGAAAATGCAAGAGAAGTCAAGTTACCCACTGCCTCACAGGCGTTTACACCTGGATTCTTTTTCCCCTTAAAAGAGATGCATAAGGAATATGCCAAGAAAAGCAATATACAAGGATGTCTCTTCTTCAGATTACACACTACTCAGAATTGCAGGTACTGCTGGCCTCATTTTGTTGTTATTGGTGCTTTGTACCACCAAGGCAGCTGGATGCAGAGAGAGACTGGTGTATTAACTACCCTTTAAATAAGAAGCACACTCACAGTTGCTTGAACATTTTGTTCCTATCTCATGTTTGGATCCCTTTGAGGTGCAAGCTGGCTTCCAGTAAGTTGTATCTACTCATATCAGGGATTCATTTTGTCCTTTTGAGGATGAGAAGGTGCAGTTAGGAACTGTGAGTATTGAGAGGACAGAGACATTGGCCCCAGGAAGGGGCCAGGATGGAAAATCCTAACAAGTAGCAGTTGTTGGTATGCCTTCAACCCTTGTACTTATAGTGACTCCTTATGAGCACAAATAAGGTAAAATTTAAGACACTATTACCATCTCATCTGCACCTTACCACACTTGCACATCCCTCCTACATTGGATAAAATGGCAAATCCAGGATGAGGAGGACTCTATGGCCACCCACGTCACCACCTTCACATCTTCTTGGGAGAAAGAGAAGTTTTCTGAGAGTTGTAGCTGTATTCACTGTTTGTAACTCAAATACAATAACCTGCCTCAATTTCCCCTTTCCTGCCTTCGCACACAAAAAGGCATAATTTTCAACCCAACTGCAAACACGAATGCAGCCTATTTGTATCACCTATTTATCAGGTGAGAAAGCAAACTCAGCCTAGCTGCCTGATCCCAGCCTTGCTGAAGTTGATCACAGTGCTTGCTAGCCCAAAGCCTGGCCCTGTTGCACTCCCAGGCATAATTCCCACTGACTTCAAACCGGTCCCCCTGGTCTGGCTCAATGACTCCCGTGGGCTTGGCACCAGGGCTTAAATCACCGTACACAGTCACTTGAGAAGCTGTCGGCAGTCAGAAATGAGTCATTAGTATGCTGCCAACACAGTATTCAGTGACAAAACCCAGCTGCCACTGTAGTCAAGAATGCAGTTTCTTTAGCACTACTGTAAGTCTTATTAGCATAGAAATCAAGTGTATGTATGTAATTGAATTTCTTTGTTGCATCCTAGTATGAGATTTTCCATCAATCCTGATTGTTACTAAATTTGAACTAGCAGCCCATATTTGCACTTAAGCAACATCTGAAAGAGGACTACACAAAGAAAGACTTTCCTAAGTCAACACATCCTAGAAAACAGCAGCTGTGCAAAGGCAGAGGCAAGCAGTATTTCATTTTCCTCCCCATAGCACCCAATCTTTTGGCACCTCTGCTTTAAAACTGGGTTCTGCTGGCATCCTGAATGAGAGCAGAGGCTGTCCCACTAGGAGACTCTGTCAGGATGTTGTGGTGCCTGCTACTGTTGATTAGGAAGTGAGATAATACCATAGGTACAGTTCATTTTAGGTCACTGATTAAACTCAACTCCTGGAAAAGAAAGAAGCAATAAAGCCAAGAGGGGAATACCAGAAGTGGTTAGGAGCATAATTTCAGGATTAACTTCACTGACATAAGAATGACTCTTCAGAAGAAGTATGAGTCTCGGAGATGCAGGGATTGTCTCTGTGGACTTGGGATATTTTGGGAGAGGGTGAGGAGGGTGAGGACTGACTAGCCTAGCCTGGACTGAGAAGGCAGGCACCATCACTGTGTCTGTCTTTTCCGTGGTGGTTTCTCAAGAGACTATCCTAACCCTCATGAACCATATAGCCATATTTTCCTATATTTTCCAAGCATAACTGTGGTCAAAACCACAGACACCTGACGAGATGGAAAAAGATGGTGAGCAAGGAAATTTAATATCCCTCCCCTGTACAGATGTTCACTGTAGACCTCAACTGAGTTGTTTTGCTCATGACTGTGCTGTGAACCCATCCCTCCAGCTTTGCTACTAAACCAGCGCTTTACCAAGGCCACTGTCCAAGCAATCTACAAAGCCACCAGCCCTTACCCATGAAGTTAAGGAACCAAGTCTTGTAACCCCCAGGCAGCCTAGCACCAAAGAGGGGCAGGAGCCAGGGTACAAGATGGATCCAAGGATCGAAGGCAGAGTCAGTCTGCAAAATTTCAAAGTTCAATACATCAGAAGATCCTGACATCAACCAGTTTCCCCCCAGATGTACACAGTTTCAGGAAACACGGCTGTTGTTCCTACAGCTCTTGGGACTTCAGCAAAGCAAGGTTGTGATCCTGGATTTTATATATATATATATATATATATATATATATATATAGTGACAACTGCAACTAAATAGAGGCAATGGGGCAGAGTAACTGTTGATGTTGGACAATCTGTAAGTGGCAGGTCACAGTCAGATTTTTCCCAGTACATTGCAATGCCATGTAATGCTGTTTTTACAAACCGGATATCATCACCCACTGCCTGGAGTGGACACGCACGAGTTCATTTCAAGGTCCAACAGTTCCCACTGAATTTTTTCTTTCTCAAGCAATAAGCCCCAAGATCAGGACTCTTCTGAGCCAGACAGAAGGAAAGAGTGAGCTCCTTCCTCCCCTGACACAATGCAACAGTAAAACAGAAACTAAGAAATATCCAGGAGCAGCTAATTCCCGTCATGAGCCCCTAGCCACAGATTCCACTGTGCAACCCTGGCATTAGAGCAGGATGGACTTTCCCTCTGGGGAATCACAATGAAGGAGGAAAGGGATAGGACGTGTGGATAACATTAGCTTTTCACTGGAGTTTCCCTCCATGCTGATGATGTATTGCACCACCTTGATCAAACCATGCAGCTCTGTCTCCCTTTGGAGCGTTATAAAACTGACTTTTGTTACAGATTTGATTTATCGTTATTGCATTTTTCACTTCTCCTGGGTTTTTCGTTTGCTACCTTGATTTCAGTTATTGTGAGCTCAGTCTCTTTTCAATTTTACACAAAAGCTCCTGTGTATAAGGTAGTAAGTTAGGAAAATGTAAAGATTTCAGAGAAAGGAAACTCTGATCTGATGGTTACTGCAGGGCACTATCAGCCAGGGCTGGGAGACCTTCCTGCAGCTTCCTTTGTCTTTCTGGCTCAACAATGCCAAGCAGCTACCCAGCCTACCCTCTGCAAATCAGGGTGAATAAATCAATATCTTTTGGAGGCCTGAACTAACTTCAATTATCATTTGTAGAGTGCTCTGCAGCTGCCTTGCAAGAAGGCCTTACCAGGCATTTCTGCATGACAGTGATCTCAGCTCTGTCCCAAGTTGGTGTTTTGGGCAGTAGCTGATATAAACTAGGGTACCTCTGATGTCAGCACTGCATTTGTCAGACATTGCTGCAAATGCTGATTTACCCCCAGGGACACCTGAGTGCATTTGCTCCAGCAAAACATCTAGCTTTAGCTGATATTATTGCCAATCTGTCTCTCTTGGGGACTTTTTCTTTTTTGGCTAGTTTTCTAATTTAGTAAATATTTAGAAATACATGTTCCTATAAAACTGCAGCACTGAATACCATTCCCCTTTGTTCAAAGCCATTTACAGACATAGGCACAATTATAGTACAATCTGTAGTTAATACTCATTGGGGTAAAGGCAAGCGATCTTAAGTGAGAAAGGGGTGGGGGGAAGGGGGGAATTTGTTATGGCAAAGTCCAACAGTTCCTTCAAGTCCTCGTGGCTGAAGCTCTAACGGAAGGCCTGTTTCTAAAGGAAAAAGAGTAGAGTTCGAAAATAAGGCAGTGAAAATGAATACCCAAGACAGAATATTGCATGGTAACCTTCAAAAGATGACAGATGAGGAGAGGCTGCCTTTAGCATGTGGCACAGAAGGCCAGGTCACGCATGGAAAACTTCTGTAGTGGCACATGTCCCAGGTCTGCCTTGTGCGTGGATGTGCTTCTTCTGATCCCAATGCCCTGGGCGTTTACCCACCCTGCTCCTGCTGCTATACCCCTACCCACAAGGGGCCAGTGCCCATGCCCAACATGTTATATCCAAGGGAGTCAGCAAGCCATGAGAGCAGTCACCAGTGGGGCAGAGGTCTCCAAACCAGAGCAAATACAGCTGTTGACACCAGA